GGTAAAAAAACATTTTGAGTTTCAAACACGGAGCACCTCTCCTGGTCCTAGCAGCATTAGTACTCCTCAAGAGTAGTCTCTAATATGCAAACGAGAAAGCACCTTTCTAGGTCACTAACTTGTTTCCCCTTACAGCCAGATGGGATTTGTATAGTTTCCTAAGGAGTTTGTGCTTTATTCTGTAGATATTTATTTTGTAAATTGTGTGAGGCTGTCCAGGAGGAATCATTAGAAAGTTTTGATCAGGGAAGAAGACATGATGATAATAATGAGGATGGCAGCAGCTAAAAGTACAGTAGCCCCCCCCCCCCATGATCTACCATGGTCCGAAAATATTAAGTGGAAAATTCCAGAAATAAACAATTCGTAAGTTTTTATTTGCACGCTCTTCTGAGTAGTGTAGTGAAATCTAGCACCATCCTGCTTCATCCCACCTAGGATGCGAATCATCCCTTTGTCTAGTATTCACGCTGTATTCCCTACCTGCTCGTTAGTCACGTTGTAGCCCTCTCATTATCAGATTGACTGCTGTGGTGCCATCGTGCTTGTGTTCAGGTAACCCTTATTTTACTCAATAATGGCCCCAAAGCACAAGAGAGTGATGCTGGCAATTTCGGATATGCCAAAGAGGAGCTGTAAATTGCTTCCTTTAAGTGAAAAGGTGAATATAGCACAATGAGATATTTGAGAGAGAGGGAGACCACACTCCCATAACTTTTGTTACAGTATATTGTTACAATTGTTCTATTGTATTATTAGCTATTGTTAATCTCTTTTTATATCTAATTGATAAATTGAACTTTGTCATAGGTATGTATATATAGGAAAAAGCATAGTATATATAGAGTTTATTACTATTCCCAGTTTCAGGCATCCATTGGGAGTCTTAGAACATATCCCCCACGGATAAGTGGGGGACTATTATATCTAAATTCAACACCACAAATATATTGGGTTGTCGGAAAAGCCATGACGCATTTTTGCAAAGAAAAACATAGAAAAAATGCGTCATGACTTTTCCGACAACCCAATATATCCAACACCTATTATGTATCAGGCTCTAATATAATACTGTCTCCCATCACCTAGACCAGTGATTCTTAATGAACCAAGCAAGGTATCTGTGAACCCCAGCACTATATACTGATTTTCTGTATATATGTGTATGTGCTTTTTTCTGGGGAGCCCCATAACTTTCATAAGTTTTTCAAGAGTGTACTATAAAAGGAGGGAGAACTACTTATCTAGACTGGCGAAGAATGGTTCCGAACCCTGAATGCTTACCAGTAAAAAGATTTAAAAATAAGGATATCCAAACTCTATCCCAACTTCCAGGGACTGGGATTCAGTCAGTGGATTTGAGGTAGAGCACCGTCAAGCAAGGGTTGACAGCCACTGATCTCGACAGGACTAACACTGAAAGGTACTCCATGGGAACAGGAACTATTCGTTAATTACTGTACTCCCAGTCTACAAAGTGCCTGGCACATAGTAGGTACCCAGTAAATATTTATTGAATGAATAAGTACTAGAACCTCCCTCCCCCCAGCCTCCCTCCCCCAGTTCAAAAAAGTTAAAAAGACCCCGTATACCTCCCCCCACCCCCACCCCCCATTGCTTTATCATTCAAGGTAAGTCATGCTGGAATCAGTAAAAACATTTCCTCACACAATAATAGTATGCCTTTTTACTCTAAATAGCTAAGTATGATAATGATATTATCCATCACAGACAGATTCTGTCAGAAGTAAAGCCGAGAAGTAGCAAGGAGTAAGGGACCTTAGATCCTTGGTTAATGGTCCGGGGAAGAGTTAGCAGCAGCAAATATGGGAACATTTTATTGAAGATTCTGACCGTTTCAGCATTGCCTGTTTTGGGTACCTTTTTCATTTAGGTGGCTCTAATTAGGGAGGAATCATATAGTGATCTAACAGTCCTTCTTAACAGGTCCTATTGGTATTTAGTGACCTTCTCTTTTTTTTCTCTTCCCATCTTCTTTGTTCCCCATTAGAGAGTACCCTCCAATTACTGAGTCATTTTTAATGTGATATGATATATCAGTATTCTAACTATTCCTTTCTATGAGATTGAGGGGAATTGTGGGATTAATTTATGTGGTGGTATTTCAGAAACAATGATATATGCCAGCTGGCAGAAAACTGGACTGTGGCAAAATTACAGTTGTATTGAACCCCTTTCTTTCTCTTCTGGAAATAATGAGTTGGGATAAATCAGGCTTTGGGAACAAATTATCTTTAGTATGGAATCTATAAGCAGCTGAAAATTCCAGGATTTCTCTTATTTGGAGCAGATAAATAATTTTTATGCAGATATATTGGAATTCTTTTACAGAATATGCCAACTACTGAAAATATTGGGGGAGAGTGAAATGGTAGTTGATATTAAATTTCATACCAAAGGGAAATTTCTTTGTAGCTCAACTAATTTGGGTGGATTATGAAAGGAGATGGTATTATGATTCATTTCCATTAATACGTAGGATGTTTTAATAGGAATAAGAAGTGGGTTAGGGCCAAGAAGGAACATGAAGGCCTAAGGCCGTGGAACTTGAGTAATTCAAGTCTGTCTTTTAAAGTGAAGGGACATGACCTGAAGGATTAGAAATTATTTTATTCATAGCATCTGAATTAACATTAAATGAGACAACCTCTTTGACTTTGGGGATTCTGCTGAGCAGGGAGGTTTTTAATTAGAGTAAGTCTTTTAGGTCAGTCCTTTTCAAACTTTAACATGCGTAAAAAATCACCTGGGGATCTTGTTTAAATGCATTCTGATTTAGTAGGTCTGGAGTGGGTCTGAAAGTCCACACTTCTAGAAAGTTCCCAGGAGATGCTAGCTAGTGTTGCTGCTCCAAGGACCACACTTTGAGTAGCAAAATTTTGTGAAGTAGCAGGAAATGACTGGATTAAGAACACTAACATTGGAGAAAAAAATGCTGCCTGTGTTGGCATAGTTTACTCAAAAGTTAAGTTTAAGTTCTCACCTTCTGCCTACCCCTTGTATCTGGATTGGAATGGTCAGATAAGACATCTCTGAGACATTATAAAATACTATATAGATAATAAGGTTAAGTAAACAAGAGACGCTATAGAGACCCCAGAAGAAGTTAATTTACCATTTATTTCTTGAGGAAATAGAAAAATATACCTCTGGGCTAAGTCATCAAGTACTGTTAGGACTTTTAATTTTAAAAATTATAATTAATACTCATAGCAATGTTATTAAACATTTGCTTGTTCATTCAAATATTTGAACTTTACTATATCCAAGGTGTATTAATCACTTACAAAGTAATCTAGATTTATAATATTAGCTAGTGATCTTCATTAGGTAATCAGATCTTACTGGTTTTATCGTAACTATTAAAGTCATTCAACAAAGCATGAGCTGGTGTACGTGCTAAAAATAAAAAAAAATGGTATCATGATCAGTTGTGAGATATCTCAAAAGTAGTTACTAAAAATAATGTAAGCTTTGAATGAATTTTTTTTAATTAATTGGAGACTTTCATATCTTATGACAGACTAAAAGTTAAAAGAAACCCAGATATTAAAAGAAACTCCTCTGGTTTAGTGCTCCTAAAAATGCTGGGTAAAACAATAAGAAGGCAAATTGCCTAACAGAAAATGTATGACACATAAACGAGCAGTTTCAGGAAATAATTTGACATTACCCAGTAAAGATGTACATGTGTATACTCAACAATCCAGTAATTTTATTCTTAAGTATATATTCTAATTTAGAGAGATTCTTAAACATGTACCCCAAGAGATGAATACAAGAGTTTTCATTGCAGCATTATTATAACTGGAAAAAAAACCCAAAACTAGAAAAACTCAAATGTTCATATGCTGTAAAATGGATAAAAGACATTTTGGTATATTTATACAGTGGAAATATGTATTTATTCAGGCATCAAAATGAATGAACTCCAGCTGCACACATCATTGAGGATGAATTTTCAGAACATAATATTGGGTTACAAAAGCAAATCATGGTAGAACACATATAATATGATTGTATTTATTTAAAATTTAAAACAGAGAAAGCTAAATGTCACATTGCTTAAAGATGATAGATACAAATGTATAAAATTTGTGAAGAAAACCAAAAGAAAGATTAACAAAATTCAGGGTAGTGGTTTCCTCTTTAAGTCAGAGAGAGGATATGTGACAGATGAGGAGTCCATAATGGGCTTCAAAGATACTGGTAATATTTTATTTCTTGAGCTGGATAGGGAGTACATGGGTCTAAGTGTTTTTGTTCACTATTATTTAAAATGTTCTTTTATCTGATATGTATGAGTACTTAATGTTTCATAATTCTAAAAAAGAAAAAATATATTCAAATAGATTAGAAGTTATCCCTATGATAGCTTTACTACTCATTTGTATTTCAGTATGCTTCCTTGAGTGGGTGAGAATAGGGTGGCATTAAGGGTATATGATGGGGAAGTTTTTGTGGGAGGATGACATACATTTGAACATCTTCCTCATGTGTATCATGAAAAATTGTTGAAAACCACTGCTGTAAGTTTAGAGCAATATAGCTTAGTGGGGTAGGCAGACCTGTAAATGAATAACTGTTAATATGAGTGCTCATACCAGAAGTGGTATGTTTATCGCCCCCAAAAAGGCCAAGAGATAGCCGGGAAAGCTCTGTGAAGTAGATGCTATTTAAGCTGGGTGTTTAGGATGAGCAATTTATATGGGGAGGTAGGTGAGGGGCGGCCACATTCCTCAGTGAAGGAAAAGGAAATTACAAAGGCACAGAGGCCTAAAAGTCCATGGAGAGTCCAGTGAGTAAGTTCAGATATGTGAAGCGTCTTATCTAACACTGTGGAGTTTGCACTGTGGGCATCGAGATTTTATTACTTAAATTAGGGACGTTGATTTGAGGGTCATATGCAAGGCTCTGCGCTAGGAGTTTCCTTCAACTCTGTATGTTTAGATATTTATGTTCTTTTCCCCCATTTGCAGGCTGCTATATGGCAAGCACTAAACCACTATGCTTACCGAGATGCAGTTTTCCTCGCAGAACGACTGTATGCAGAAGGTTTGTAATATCTTTTCTATAGAACCACAAATGAATAAAATATATGAATTCCATCACTTTTTATAACTCTAACAAGATTCCGAGTATCACGTTTTTTTCTTTATGATTGACATTAGTTCATAAAAACTTTCCCTGTACTGTGTAGTTCCCTTATAGGCTACTTTTAATAACTGTATAGAGTTGCTTCAGGCTTTACCCTATGTTTTACTTAATCTTTTTCGATCTTTAGGTATTTTTTTTCAGGTTTTTTATTAGAACAGAGTCTATATTTTGTGGCCTCGGCATAGACCCGAACCCTGTCACTTAAATACGCAGTTGTATACCTTGGGCAAGTTACTTAAATCTGAGTATTTCAGATTTCTCATCTATGAAATAAAGATAATAATAATTGCCTCATACTATTGAAGAATTAAATGAGATAATGTATTTAAAGCACTTGGCACAACCTTCTGGCATGGTAATAAAGTACTCAGTAAACTCTGCTCGTAATGTATGTTTTGTTTCTGTCATTAATTATTGTAATTCTCTAAGATGCTAATATAGATAATTATGTACAGCTTTTTTTTTAAGTCATTTCCTTCGATTATATACACTGAAACGTAATTTACAAGTCAAACAATGTGATCAATTCTACAACAAATTACTTTTTGTCCAGTTAAGAACCCAGCTGAGAGAGGTGTAATAATCTAGGGCAACGGTTCTCAACCTGTGGGTCGCAACCCCTTTGGGGGTCGAATGACCCTTTCACAGGGGTCGCCTAAGACCATCGGAAAACAAAAAGATATTTGCATTACAATTCGTAACAGTAGCAAAATTACAGTTATAGAGTAGCAACCAAAATAATTTTATGGTTGGGGGTCACCACAACATGAGGAAATGTATTAAGGGGTCGCGGCATTAGGAAGGTTGAGAACCGCTGATCTAGGGTGTCGTCAACAGTGTAAGACTTCCTTCAGAGCCCTGTCCGTATCAGATTTGACCATTTTAATGTATTTTTGCTCACTTGAGAATTGTGAGGTATTTTGTCCTGCATTTTTATAACTATGAGGGATTATGGGTATTTTCTCAAACATTTGTTTTAAATTTTTTCCTATTCTGTGAGCTATATTTTTATTACATATTTGCCCCAGATTGTTGCTTTTAAATCTTGATTCTATTTATTTTTTATTCTGATACGTGTATTTAAAATTTTTGTATAGTCAAACTCATCAGCTTTGCCAGTTATACTTTTTCCTATTGCTTCAATAGCTGGAAAGTTGTCATCTTTCTATAACTACAATAAATATAAGGTTCTTGGTAGTTTAAAAGGTTTAAAGAATTTATTATAGTATTATTACTTAATTTATTCAATATTATTTATTAAAATCCTGCATGGTATTTTACTTGGTTTTATATTAAATTTTCAAAAAATGTTTTGCTGTCTCAGAACCTCTCCTCTCTTCCATTTGTTAATTTACTATTTTAACCCAGTATCATTCCATATTATAATTAACACTTTATATTGTCTTTTGGTATTTAATAAGGTCTATCTCTTCTCCCATCATATATTTTTTTCCAATTCATTCTTTGGTAAAAAGCCTTTACCGTTTCATATTTCCATGTGTGTTATATTATTGCTTTGAAATTTCACAAATATTTTTATCAATGCTGACTTGTAACCATACAAGTCTACAAATTGATTTAGGAAGTATTGACATCATACTATATATAGCCTTCCCAGCCAGAAATAGTGCTACATTCTTTTTACTCTAGTGTGTGTTTAATTTTCCTACTTTTTCTGTAAGCTCCCATTGTAGATGAGCTTTATTTTATGTATTTTGTGTGCTCCTGCATCAATTGATAGTGGAACCTTTCTGCACAGTTGTATAATTTCACTCTAGTAGTAAGTGTTTAGTAACCTAACTAAAAGCATAAGAAGGTAGACATTAGGGGTTTGCTAGGCATGTGTCACAAAAGGACAAGGAATAAGAACATAAAGAATAGAGACAAGCTGTGGACCAGGAAATATAAACTAATAGAAAAGTTAACACAGAAAGGGATTGGTAAATAAGAGAGGATGTAGAGAGGGACCAGAAGTCCGGGTGAGGTTGAATTGGGAGATGTATGGGAATACAGTAATACCTTGGTTTGCGAGCATAATTCGTTCCGGAAACAAACTACTTGTATTGCAAGACATTGCTTGTTTACCACGTTAAAATGTATTAGAAATGTTTGCTCATCTTACGGAACACTTGCAAACCAAGTCACTCGAAATCCAAGCTTTTACTGTAATGTAGGAGAGGAAGACCATGAACCAGGTGTGCAAAATTCTTTCGTTTAATGAAGCAGAATGGGCTGAATCACTTAACTGAGAGTTATGAGAAAAAAGAATGAACCTCAGGAGCAGGGGATTTCACAAAAGCACAAAGAGTAATGCTTGGAAAGAGTTTTGAGAAGCAAGGAGGAAACCAACCTTACCTAGGCACTGATATAAGTGGGATATGAGGGAATTAGCATCTCTTTGGGAGAGCTTTCAGGTTCTCGGGAGACTGGGAGTGCAATTAGGAAAGTGGGGAAGATCTGTAGAGCAGGAGTCTGAGGTCCCAATGAAAAAATTTAGAAGAGCGAGAGAAAAAAGATAATACAGTACATTATTCCACTCTGCTCAATTATGTAAAAGCAGGGTTTATTATGAATAATCTACTTACATATATTTCCACTGATACCTAGGCAACCCTCATATTTTGCTGTCTTATACTTATTTCATTTTTGCATTTGTTTATTAAAGATAGGGAGTTTCTAGTTTATTATAGTTAGGCTCCAAAAGATTGTAAATTAGTGGTTTCAAATTCAGACAAGTTTCCCCTCAGAATTGGAGCAGGATCCAGATTAATCCACATAACACTGTTTAATCCACTTTCTATCTGTGTCTGATAAAGTGCTTAACATTTGGAAGTTGCTCAGTGTTTGTTTCTCGCAGTATAGAAATTAACCACTTTATATTTCTATAAGGGAAGATTCTACAGTTTAAGTGCAGTGGGAACAGATACTTTCCTGACTCAGTAATAATGACAACAATAACTTCTGCCATTTATTGATTGCTTACTGTGTATTAGGTACTCTAGATACTTACTAATATTAATTTGTTACTTAGTCTTCAATAATCCTATAAAATAGACACTGCTATTGCCATTTTAGAAATGAAGAAATTAAGACCAGTGTTCACAAGCCGTAAGTGGTAGATCTGACTCCACTTCTCGGCGGGTAGCAAATACCGGGGGTGCCAAAAAAATGTATACAAGTGACTTGTATTCGTCTTTTGTTATCGGTATATATTGAGTATTAGGATTTTAATACAGTTTTTTCCTATTTTAAAATGTGTGCACATTTTTTTGGCCCCCTCTGTACACGCCACTCCTCTGATTTATTATTAAACATCACAGTACTCATGCCCACTGAACCAGCCTCAGAATTCTTGTCAACAGTGTTGATGGCTGACACTTAGTTGACCAGAGTTGGTATGCTAAATGTAACCTATTTGTCCCCTTGCTCAGCAGCCTCCTATTCCACTCGCAAGTAGCTCCTCTGTTTTAGAGAAAGATGTCTAACAGGCATGAAGCTAAAGAAGTTGATGGGTGGGATCTTCTGTGAGTCAAATTTTTGAAATAGTTTCTCAGTTTCCCTAGTTCCTTGTCACTCATTTATCTTTCTCCTAAGAGTTTCATAGATAGCCTGCCTAAGACTGTGGTGTAAGCAGATGGTGTAAGAGAAAAACCTCAGCGCAGATATTCATTAGTTATTTTGTCTTTGTAAAGAAGTTATTCTGAGCCTAATTTTTCTCATCTTTAAAATGAGAAGAGAAATAATCTATTTAACAAGATAACTTTAAGAACTAAATATAATCCACTGTAGTTTTTGGCACATAGGAAGTCCTTTACAAGTTCCCTCTTTCCCCTCGTCATGCATATCCTAATACAGTGATGCTTTGGATTTTTTTTGTTTGTTTTTTTGTTTTTTACTGTTATATATCATGCACTCTGATACTTGCTATTTGAGTGTTTGTTGTTTTAGTGCAGGTCGCTACCCAATAAATTGACCTCACAATCCACTAGTGATTTGAGACTTGCTGTTTGGAAAAACTGTCCTAATCATATCATCTGCTTCCCCATCTCCTTCCACCTTGTAAGCACCTATTTGTCCTTCGCACAGCCAGCACCTGATCTCCTGGACCAAGGCTTTTCTCCATTCCTAATTGATTAACTATTGGACAGAACACAGATTCAAAGCTTTCCTCCTTGTTCTGGTAGATAGCATGTAGTACTTCTAAAATTTTCTAAGGTTTTTAATTGTAATTATATATATTTAACTGTTAGGAATGGGTAGTTAGGGCCAGCCGAGTGGCGCGTTGGTTAAGAGCTGGCTTGGGATGCCAGAGGGCCCCGGTTCGGATCCCACATATAAGGGCCAGTGACACTGCCCTCTACAGCTAAGATGCTGAACAACAGCTTGACGTGGACCTGAGCTGCTGTGAGTCGCTGGCGATGGCATAGGCTGCA